TTGAGTCCACAATCGAAACTAATGAGGAGACTCCACAAACTGAAAAATTTTCGAGCTCATGTCTTACCAATAACTGGGAGTACAGAAGTTCGCAACGATTTGCCTCTATAAGCCATCCGACAGTATTATAGCCGTTTTCCTGGAACTTCATCCTATAACAAACAATCGAATTAACGAATTTCAGTCTGAAATTTATCCATAAAAAGGTCATATGATCTTTAAAGGATCCTAAAAGTTTCACACAGAATGGTTGCTCTGTTTTGTCTGAAACTTATTAATTTGATTGCGAAAAGGAAAATGTTGAAAACATAAAATTTCATATAGATATACGAAATCGATAATATTGATGTACTTTTCAATCTTGTCTTATTTAAGATATCCTAACTCCTTCCAACATTTGGTTCTTTGCAGATATATCTACTCTACTCGGTATTCTTTTTATTAGAATAAATAGATGTGTGAGTGCATTGAATAGATTGATTTGTATGGTTATTAAAAGGATGATATTCTATTGATGAGAAATAATTCATTAAATACTTCCCGAACATTAGACATACGTTCTTGATAAGCTTTTATTTGTTTATTTAAAAGTCGTTGAGAATAAAAAAGTTTTCAATGTGAATCTGCACGAAGTGCACGTACAGGTCTATTACAATTGGGACAAAATTTTTCTAAAAAACAAAAAAAGAATAAAAATTAATTTGAAAGTTTTCTATAATTACAAAACAAAATCTAAACTTTTTGTTTTAAATGCTCGTCTTTTAAAATCTTTTATAAGTTGTTGTCGAATAGTTAATAAATTTTTTGTTGTTACTTCTATTTTAGTTGATGATGGTGGATTTAATTTCATATATTCATTTATTTGTTCATAAAACTGTATCTAAAGATTTTGTTTTTCTAATATTCATGTTTTATAAATTGATTGTAAATTATCTATTTCATTGGTTTGACCATGTTTTTAAATAAAACATTTGCATATTAAATAAATATTTTTCTACATTTCAACATTAAATTCTATGACAATAAAGACAACAACCACGAAGAAGCTTGAAAATTGCAAAAAAATATAAAAAAAAAAAGACTGAAGAAAATTTATTTATTATGATTTACATTAACAAGATTGAAGAAAGAATACGAGATTGTAAACACGTAAAACAAGTTATATATGCCCAAGATGCCATGGACAAACAACAAATCCCTTGATGACAAGTAAAACAACGATCATTTTTTTATCAAAGGATCCTAATGCTAAATCATATGGACTATCAGATACTGATGCACCAAGACGATCAATTGATTGTGATGACGTTAATTCTTTTACAGTTAAACAACGAATTTCTTCAGATATATAATTATTAAATAGAATACTACCAATTGTGGTATCGGATGGATAATAATTGATTGTCTCCATCTTGTTTTCTACTTTGAAAATAAATCAACTAAAAATTCATAGGATGGATTTCAGATCCCTCTCAAACGTCAATAGTCTATTAGAGAGAACAGATTAGAAATTATATGGAAATTTTTATATATTAAAAATTGAAAAAAATTTCATTTTAATAAACGAAAAATTTGATTTATATGAAAAATAAAAGTTTTTATTTCTCTGAACAGAGGACGCCACAAGATGATGTCATATGTTTTTTTTCTTACTTCGCAATTTAACAGAAACATTTCCTTTTTTTTCTATAGCTAACATTCTCTTAACAAATCTATTTCGAGTAGATATCTTTTATATATGGTATAGTTGAAGAAAAGTAATTTGATTGTTCTTTTCTAATTATTTATCTATAATTTATATTTGAATAATATCATTTTTACTAACAATAGCATTGTGCTTTTATTTAAATAATAACTAAGAAAAATATGTTCTCACATGGAACTAGATGGTATTCGAGTTTTACTCGATTCTAAAATGCGATGAGAAGATTCGAGTGGCGATTCTTTATTTATCTAATAATCGTAAAAAGAAATAATCAGTTATATGAATAAAATCAAAAGTTTCTACCATTTGAGAATATTAGAATTAAATCTTTGCCCGCCGCCGACATAAGAGAAGAAGGAAACGATTTTGGAGAAAGTTTATTTATCTTTTATGGAATGGTTCTATAGTTTGTCTTTGTAAAATGGTATGCTGAAGAGCGCACAGTATCCAGTGCTTGTTCTTATGTAAATGCATCTGAAAAACATTGATTACGATTGATTGCATCAAGTTTAGACACTGATAAAGTCCATAACGTTTATAAATGGCGGCGGGGGCCAAAGGGTTAATATCATATTAATATAAGGTAACATACAACCGGCTAAAATAATATTATCTAATGTTGGACTTGACATACGAATGTATCTAAATGAAATAAAATAAAAAATTCAATTATCCGTTTATTTTCTCTTTTACCTATGTGATCGAAAATGAATATTAAAATCAAGAAAAGTCCATGATATAAACAATCCAATTCCACTACATATTGATATTGATATAAATACTGACAAATAAATATGTTAAAATTGAATTGTTTGATTTGTTCGATCTCGTGATGGACCATTTCCTTACCAAAACAAAACCTATTAGCACAATCTTTACAGAATTAAAATGTGGAGTAAGATGTTATTAGTTTTTCTAACTAATGGAAAATTGTTCTATTCTATGTATTTTGGGATGTATTTCTTCACTATCCTTTTAACGGATGGGCCAAAAATTTTCAAATAATATATTTCTTCATTTTTCGATCGTTTAAGACAATTAGCAGAAGCTATTAAATATTGGTTTAACATCAGAATTTTGTGTACTTTATCAATCTAGGTTCGGAATTTTTATTACATTTATATTTCAGGAGTTATGAGTCAATTTGATGAAAGACCTGAGAATAAAGTTTGAACGGATTTGAGAACCTATCGCATTCTTAAGTTCATATGCATCCGTTTTTTTTCTATTGATTGAACGTACATGAAGAAGTTCCACGAAGTAAATCAATAAAACATAACTCAAATTTCACCACTGTCAATACAAGCCTGAACGCATTGCATCGACAATTCATTTCATGGAACTACATCAATAATAGAACGTAATAGTCAATCATATTGGCTATGGACAATTCCTTTTCTATTATCTCTGAATTTGTAACGAATATCATAGATATTTCGATTAGTAAGATATAAGCAGGAATTATCTGCATTTGTTTGAATTAAGATAAAATTACAATATAATAAATCTATCCTAAATGCAATTGATTTTATGGAAAAATATTGTTGAAATGTTATAGGTTATCTAAACTTCATTGTTTATTCTTTCGAAGGAGACAATCGCGAGTTCTCTAATATTTCTAAAAATTTCTCTTTACAAAAGATAGAAGATCTTCATCAATCGACATCAAGATAGTTCTATACTGCTGACACATTTTCATTTTAGAATATCTAAAAACTTTCAACGCATCCATTATTTAATCCTCAACGTCTGTAATGGTGTTTAACTAACATCTATTATATTGCCTTGATTACAGCATGTACGATCTGTGAAAAGTTCAAATTTTTACTCCTATACTTCAACATTCGTTTTAGATTATGTTCTATCAAATAGAAAAACGATATTTTCTAATAAAATAAAACCAAACCATGCCACATAATTGGATTAAGTTTATAGAAAATTGGTGAACCATCTTTTCATTCTAAATGTTTGGCAAGAAAAATTTTCACAACAGTTAAATGAGAATCATCTTCTTCTTCATAACATGGAATTCTACATGTTTTATCTTTCATCATTCGACAAGCGAAATTTTATATTGAAATTTTATTAAAAAAAAAAAACCTAATTGTTTTTTCTTAAAGATTTTTCTTATGAATAAATTGTTCAACAACTCCTTGACCTATTCGTCCACCATTTAAATACCTGACTCTTCCCTAAATATTTAACAATATTGATAAATATTCTTTGTTTTTGTTTTTTTCCTTATCTAATTCACTTACAGTAGCATCAATAAAATCAATATTTTCAATAACATTTGTTAAATATTCCTTGAATCGATTGATTACTTAATAAATGTGATTGATAAAGATATGTTAAACTCCATATTGTATCATATACATAACCATGAAAATAATCTTTTTCTAATTTAGAAAATTGTTTTATATATTCCGTAATATATTCTGATTGATTCTAAAAAATAATTCAAAAACAAAAACAAAAAATTCTTTTGTTTTTCTCAATAGATTTTGTTTAAAAATATTTCATTATCATCAATAGATAAAGGTGGTAGACGTGTTTGTAATGTACCATTAATTACACGAATTATTTCTTGGATTGAACAATCAGTTGGTTCATTCCACCAAGTTGATAATGATGGATAACCAAGAATAATCCATTGATAACGAGAACCATAACACTTGTTCACGAGCTACCTATCCTTTGAAAATAAATAAGAAAATTTTTTTTTCTTGAATTTTATCATATATATCTGACAAAACATATGAGTAGCAATTGTTTTATTAAAATTTCCATTAATTATTCGTACATCTCAACCCTTCAAAAAAAAAGAAGGACAAAAAGAAATTTTTGTTGAAGAATTTAATGAATAATATATTAGTTTAAAATCTTTTTAAAACGACATTTAATTATAGAGCAATATATATTTTATTCTAACAACATGACAATCATGCGTCAGTAACAGGCAAAACGTTGTTATTCTAAAGGAGTACTTGTTGACATACTTTTCGAGTTGAATATTATTTCGAAAACTAATTATAATCTCTAGAGATTATCTTATGACAATGAAAAAATAAAATAACATTACTATTGAGAGTTAGCTGTTAGAAAGTCTATTAGTTTTTTTCTGTATGTAAAAGCTAGAAAATCTATTAGGTTTACAGCGAAGATCGTTGAAAAAAAAGGAGAAAATTATGTAAAGGTCATGTTGAATACTTTCATAGATCATCCATTGATATATCAATGTTTTTTTTTGGTAAACACAAGTCATCTGTTGGATTGTGTTTGGTAGAAGAACCTCTTCATTTTCAATTGCACATTAATACTGAATGTACTGCAAATTTAAATATTTCGCGAATATCTAAAAAATAAATTATTTAATAATAAATAAAATCAGATTTAAGTTAAACATAGTAATCTTCTTTAGCATTGATATTACGTTCTAGATAACCAGCAACACTAATTCTGTCAACTTTAGTTTAACTGTTTTCAGAGTGAGCAACTTTTTATTTCATTTTTATTTGTCCTCTCTTCGTTGTTTTATTATTTCATAGATCTTTTTTTATTATGTAAGAAGAAAAAAAAAAAATACAATTCATTAGGAATCAACAATAAAATAATTATTACAAGTTCATTTGATTGATATTAATTGTTATCTTCATATTTTTGTTAATCTTTCATATAAATAAGTTTATTAATAAAGTGTTATTTTTTCTATTTGTTGATCATGTAAATGAAATAAATATTTAAGTAAATGTGGTTGTCGAAGATAAATACCAAGATCATCTGGTGCCATGACGACTACACTGAATACTCACTCAACCTAAATTCAAAATTTTTATATACTAAAATTATGTAGAACTCGAATTTTTGAGGTACACAAATCATGGGAACATTGAAGTAATAAAAAGAAAGAGAACTATATGCATGAAATTTTGTCGTTTTCACGAGCGAAGTTCCTAGATCCAACTATTCTCCTACGGAAAGTGACTAAGGTTGGTAGATATGTACCGAGACTCCATGATCCTAAGTTTAGTCATATTTTATAATTTGAGTAAAACTAACTCAAAAATATAAAGGATTTCTGTTCAAGTTCCAAGAGTCAAAGATTTAAAAGTTTCTTTTTCAGTGCATATCCAATAAAGAAACACATACTAGCTGATGATAAGAGAATATTTCTTACATCTTCTTCTTCTTTTCTAATTCCAAGAATTTCAATAGTTGGTCCACAAAGTTGAGGTGAATCTTGAAGACGATCATTGATACGATTTTGTGGAAAGTTTTTAAAATGTATCTTTTCTATTAATATATAACAAAAAGAGACTATTCACTTCAAGTTGATCTTTTTCCAGAGTTTTTTCATAAAATTTCTCATCATTTTTTGTTTCTATGACATTAATTGGTAAATGAGATGTTGTCATGAAAGAAAGACTCACTAGAACATGATTAGAAATCTTTAATAAAAGAGAGAATTAATTAACAAAAAAAGACAGAACATTTCATAAACAAACATGTTTAATATCAATTCTTGCAATGTCACCAATTAATATCGTTTGTCCAATATCTAATAAAATATTCATCGGTCGAATATTAGTTCATTGATGGTGAAAATAAAAAGTGAAAGTTTTTGTTTGACTACGACATTCATTAATAATCTTCAATGAAGAATAAAATAAAATAAAATAGAAACAAACTTTTTGTTTTCACTTGTTCAGGTAAAATAACTCCTAGTGTATCATAAAACGATTTTTCATTTTTATATCAATCAGGATTAAAAGATTGCATTTTCTTTTCTCGATAATCTATATAATTATATTCACGAAATTCAAATCAACGATCTACATAAAAAGAATTTTCATCAGATGAATATGTATATTGAATAGGAGTTTTTTTGGTAAATTCATTTCAGATTCAAATCAATCTCACCATTTTACTATTGATATAACATTGTCTAAAATTTTATCTTTAACATTTTCTTCATTAAAACAAATAAAACCATACGAATAGTAGTTGTTACATTTTCAATTAAATTACTATTTTCATCAAAAATTTATTCGTTTTCCTCTTAGGATTTCAAACGTTCTGCACACATAAATTAATTTTTTCCAGTTCTTAATTGAATTGGATAACGAAGAACATTCATTGTTGTACCTAAATAATACAACAAAAAATAGTTAGGGGTACCTAAAAGTAGTGGTAGTTACATTTTAGTACCGTATAGTATAAGCTTGAAAACCTTTCTTTTTATATAGTCTTGAAGAGAAAAGAATGCTCGATTTTACTATGCTATTCGATGATGTTTCAGCTAATATTATAATAATAAAATTTCAATAAGATCTGTTTCGCTATAATATGTGCTGATTGTATAAATATTCATTTTAAAAAAATACGAGTGAG